TTATTGCGTGCTTTCAGGGCCTCCCCTAAGTAACTTTTAATCTCCATGACTGAAGTTACTAATGCACAGGATCATTTTCAGAAAATTATTTTCTCTGTTTTGAAGAATTCTTACTTGTAAATCACAAAACTTAATTCTCACATCTTACATCTATAGCTCCCTAAAACCCCAAAAATGTTCCTTCTTCTCCTCATTGTCTAAATTTGAAGCCTTAAGGTGTATGTTGTTCAGGCTCCTTTTTCATCAGGGAAAGTGTATCTTCAAACACAAAGCTAACATTCACTTTGTGAAAACTATCTTAATTGCACTGGCACATACTGTTTGATATGCCTTTTTTATCTGTATGTTCACTGAACTTATCGTTTGCAGTAGCTACTGGAATTCCCCACTTCTGTTTTTATCTTAGAGCCCTTATACTGTGCTGAAATCATTCTCATCAGCATCTCTGAGGACCAGTTCCCCAACCACATCACAGAAACAGTACTATCACACTCGTCTTTTAGATATCATTGATTATGTTCTTCTAATTGAAATCTTTTCTTCTGAGAGCATTTTCTCTTTCAGTTGGAGAGTCCTCATCTTATTTCCTCTAAATTTCCTGTGAAGGTTCTCCGATTTAGCTTGCAAGCCCACATTCCACTTCTGTATCCGTGCAGATGGTTTCCATCTGACTCATGATGCATTTTTTTATTTGAATGGAATAATATTAAAGTATAAACTTATTTATGTCGCTTTACGTACGTCTGACTAGTGTTTTAAGAATATTCAACATATGCTGCATTGTCCTTTGTCGCTCTTACTGATAGTCTTCCACCTTCTGATCAATAGAGATAGTGTTACTATTTGCCTGTCCCTCAGAAGCGTTAATTCTGTTTTAGATTTATCTTAGATCTCTCTCCAGTCTCTTACTTAATTGCTTTTCTAAAAAGAGTATATACTATTTTTCTTGTATAATAATATCTAGGATATAGAATTATTTCTGGATTTATACAGCTAAAAAGCTTTTCAGGGTTTTTACATTATACACTTCAGTTTAAGCAAAGTCTTTTGCTGTGTTGCTTTGTCTTCCTCATGTTCATTCAAGATATTGTTCTGAATATGACTCGTATGGCTTGTCACTTTCATTGTGTCACACGCTGGGTATATTATTTCTTGTGCAGTTTAAGATTTGCGGTGATTTTACACAGTGACAGAACTGTATGCTTGGCAAATGAGGGATGATTGTCCACAAGACAGTAAAGTTGTAGCACATCACCATAGAGTATAAATTCTAGTGAAAAATCCATTGAAATGCACAGGACCTCACGGTGCACAAGATCCCCCAAACTGAATGTAGAAAACACAAGCCGAGCTTCTGCATGTCATGTATAAAAATGCAGCTGAGGAAATCCTCAAGGAAATCCTTGAGCAAGTGCTTCAGCTGCGTTTTTCAGTGCAGAATCCTGTGCTTCTTTTTGGGTTCTTGTGCTTTATTTTTCCTCTCTGCCTCTTGTCAGAAGAGAAAAATAGACAGTAAAATTAAGAGTGCCAGAGGGGTTGTCTTTTGCTGTGACATCGCCTGAAAAGAGCTGAGGTGATTGTTTCCCCTCTTAAGAAGTAAAAAGGGAACTGGAACAAAAAGGCTGGATAAGGTGTATACAACTGGGAACAGGGTTTGAGCATTCCTTAAAGTACTGCTGTGTCGAAAACTGGTTGCTTGTAAAATGTGTCAAAGAACTCTTCTAATCTGATTGTTACAAGTTATCCTGGGAGAGACCAAATTCTGCTCTCCTGAAGTCCATGGCTTTCTTCTTTCCTTCCTTGTTGCCCCAAGCATAGAGACATGGGCCCCCAGGGAGCTGACTTTCTGTCTGGAGTGGCTGGAATTCCTTGGAGTTCTTTCAGGTGTTCCATGTTTACGATTAGTACTATGTTTTACTTTATTTTTGATTATTAAATTGTTCTTATCTCAACATACAAGTTTTACTTTGATTCTCCTCCCTGTTCCATGTGGTGGTGGGAAGAGGAGGGTTTGAGTAAGTAGTTGAGTGGTGCTTAGTTTCCATCTAGGCTTAAAATCATGACACCTAGCTTCTTAATGGTAAAGTACAATTTATTCTGTAGCAATTCGGTCATTGCATAAAACATTGTGGCCCACAGATTAGTTTGCTTTTATAATGAAATTGGTGTAGTGTAAAGGAAGTGAGAAATCATGCTACTATTGTTAATATCTCTGGAAGTAATTAATTTAAGCCAAAGTGAAACTGAATCAGCTAATACATTTTAGTAGCTGCATTGTATATGCTACCAAGCTTACTTCTCCATAGTGCTCTCTTCATCATCCTGATGCAGAACTCATAATTCCTTTTCAATGTCTATCTCAAATCTGTTAGGCTGATAGTAACACATCTTGTGATTTTGAAGCTTGTGTCGTGACTACACAACCATCATGGTTGTGCTGGTTGGTGACATCTGATATCTGCTAGAATGAGCACTGTCTCTGCTCTCTGTTCGATTCCTTTAGAAATTTTAAATAACCTAATACCCTGAGATAATTCTTTCATCTACTAAATCCTTTGCTAAAGTGAAAGACCTTGACTGAGAGGTTCAAAATTTAATGTAGCTAGGTTGGAGATCATTGAAAGACAGCTCTGATGTGTATTTGCTTTTATTTTGTACATCAGACTTAATATATATAATACCCTGATTTAACTAGTAAGATTTTACACACACAACATATATATGTATATGAAAAGAGGTATATGGGGTATTCTGGGTTGTAGTCTTGTTTAGGAAAAAAATTATACCTAACGTACATTAAAAAAGATCTCTTCATACTGGTGAATATACTGTTCTGAGAGAAAACTGCACGATTTAATGGGTCCTTCAAAGGGAACCTGCATCTGGGTAAAAAAAAATTCAGTAGAAGACCACTGTTGCTGCTCTTCAGTTTTATCCTGGTTACCCTAAAAATTCTAAAATAGAATAAATAAACTCAGTACAGGCTACAGTTGTGTTTGTCATGTCTTTGATAATGCCTACTGTGCAGACAAATTCTAGGTCTTCACTGTTTTTAAAATACAGAGTAGTTTCAGTATGTCAGAGGGGAAGTACTAGGAAATACTAAATAGCATTTATAAATGTATTGCAGTTTGAACAGGACATTTGCTACGTTTTGAACAAACCCCAAGTTTATCCCCTAAATCCTCATTTTTACACTCATTCTATTTAACTGTTTGCCTCTGTATGTTGTTCAGTGGTGCTTATCAAAGTCCTCAGTTGGCCCAGTCCATGAGTCTGGGACTTTGAGTCAAAAAACCTCCCTCTTGTTAAAATTACTTTTTGTTAAGGAGAAACTGATGAAAGTTGTAGTTTGGTGTTGTCATTAGGTAAGCAAACTGTTAGTGTCCAATAGAAAGAAAACTCCTGAGTTTGGTAAGGGAAGTGTAGTATAATTCATACATCTTTTGGTAACTTATTTTCTCCTGGCATGTAAGGATACATTTGATTGCTGCTAAATCTCATGGCTCACTTCTGAAGAGATGTGTGAAACTTAATGGATCATTCCATAACCAGCATGCAAGCAGAAATAGACTCTGTCTCTGATTGTTAATGGGATTTTTTTCTTTTTTTTTTTGAAGCCAGTTTAATTCCAGCAGTATTATAAGAATAAAAATCAGGATTCAGCACAAAGTTGTTTTATTAATATAAGATTAGTTGCCATATGGTATTACTTGAGTCTGATAAAAGGAATAAAAATGTTACAGATGGGTAAGTGGGCACATGGTTAATGAGTATTTCCGTAACTGAGACGCTCCCTATTACTGTTTTGACAATTTGACTGTTTTTTGCACTCTTTTTTTTAACAGCATTAAAGCAAACTGCAGAATTTTGCTACGACAATGTTTAACCTATGTCCTGTTGAACTATGACACCTGTAAACTAAATTGTATTAGGGAATCATTTGCAAACATTGGTAGTGTACAGAATGAATATATTTTGTTAGTTGTTTGGAAGTCCTGGAATAAGCTGAAGCTGCATTTATTACATTATCATATTTTCATTTTTTTCTGTCAAAGGTGTACATCTGAAACTTGGAAGGATGCAAATTTTCTTTTTAACACCAGCAAACAGTTGTAGTCTGTCTCTATGATCAGTTTCTTACAGTTTAGGTAACCTATAGCTAATTAGAATGAGGTTGATAATGTTGGTTTCTCTACTTCCGGTTTATTTACTTTGCAATTCATTAAAATATCTTTGCTGTTTCTGGGAGGAATTTACAAGCAATAAAGTCAGTTTGTCAGTGTTAAAAGTACATTCTTTTTCTTAAGAGTGCTATTAATTTTGAGAACTGATAGTAAGAGATTAAGAAATATACAATCTTTGGACTAAGTCAAGTTATGAGACCTTGGAATTTACATTGACTTATGCTGAACTAGAGGTCCTTGAAGGCTGTTTCGCAGAACCCTCTGTTTTCAGAGCCCTGTTCTTTCAGAGTTTTAAATCCAGACAGTGGCTACTCTTATGGTTTACGGCAGTGCCAAAAAGAAATGTATCCTAGAGCTTGCACTGATGGGTACTGATATTTACAAGTAGTCTATTGTTAGAGAAGAACATGTTAATAAAAGCAAAAAAACCCCTAAACATATATTAATATATATATGCTATGTGGGAGGTTTTTATTTTATGTTTTCAAATCACTGTCCTTTTAAAATGACAGGTATCTCAGGAGAACTGAAAATTATGTCCCATGCACTTCAGGTGTAAAAGAATTTTGGTTTTCTTTATACTTAAAATAATTGTACAAAATATTTAAGGAAATAGAGAGTTTCTCAGCAGAGAAGTCGATCTGAGTTAACTTAATCCAGCTGATGTTGACACTTACAGGTTTTTATCAGTAGAGGCTTAGCCCTTGTCTTTTATTTAAATTAAATTCCGAAGTCTACGTGGCACATTCTCCAATAAATCAATTATCATACAGGTTTGCTTGTTTTCACTAGAGATTCTTCTTTTTCTCCTAGGATAAGAAGGACAAAGTCTCAAGATTTGACACCATACGTCATTCCATAGCAGGAATTATAAGGTCTCCAAAATCCATGTTGGGCTCATCATCGGTAAGTAGTATCAATAATATAGTGTTGGCATACAATCTGTTATTTTTACATCTTAAGTAGAATTTTTTTTTTTTTTTTAAACGTGCATTTCTATCTAAATGGACAAAAATTACATTAAAATAATGTTATAAAAACACTGTTCTGATTGATCAGCATACATGATAACATCATGGCATAATGATGTGTCAGAACAACTTGCTGCACTTCAGGGAAAAAGTATGCTCTTGGCAGCTCTCAGACTGGTGCTATAATTTTAAGGGTACTCTTCCCTGTGAGGCTGATTTTCTTGAAATGCACTGTCTTATGATAGGTGGTCATGCATATTTTACAAATGGTTGCAGTAATTATATTCCCCATATTTGTTATTATTGCTACTGCTACTACTACTACTGGTGCTGTTTAAGTAACTAAGTATTACACCGATCTTGCTTCAATCCCCACAAAAAATAATTTTTGAGTATGTCTTAGTTATAGTTGGCTTTTGTTCAGATTCTTTAATGATTGGAGAAACTTCCTGAGTGTTTTTGCTTCTGTATTTCCACTGTTTGTTTCATATGGAGAATGCAAGATTAGTGAGAATATTTGAGCACCTACTTAGAGACGTGTCAGATTTTACTTGAAAACCTTCTTCTTCTTCTTTCTCCAAGTGGAACATGTGATCATCCCAATCCTCCTAACATAAAAAACAAAACTAAAAAAAACCCAAAAACCAAAGAAAAGAAAAAAAAACCCTCAACAAAAAAGTTGGGCAGAGTTTTAAAAACTGTTTAAAACTGCCTTTTAATTATGATCTTGTCACCTGAAATATTAGCTTAAAATAGCATTCTTGAGAAAACTTTATAAACAATGGATCTTCTATTTTTATGCTCAGGATTACAGCCAAGGACTCATGAAAAGATGCAGTAAACTGTGTTTGTGCTAAACAATATTCAGAATGTGTGGAAGAGATTACAATTGCATATCTACATATATATAAATATACGTGTGTACAGAACAAAATTGTATGTCGGAATGAAGGAATGGAAAAATAAATATGATGGGATAAAATTAGGACAGGAAGGCTTTTCCTATGAAAAATGTGAAAGCTGCTTGAGATATTTGAAAAGTAACAGGAAAAACTTTGCTAAAATATTGAAATCCTTGGAGTTAAACAAAATCTCCACATTATCAAGATCTTAATTTTATAAAACTTCTAATTGATATAAAGTTCCAGCATTTCATAATAAAACCCTACTAAAATGTGTATTCCTGTGACCTCTGTTCTTTATGTAGGTGAGACATAGCATTCAACTTTGTCTATTTCTGTGTGTTACAAAACTTAAAATTTAAAAAAAAAAACAAGCCAAAATTCCCACAAACCAAAAAACAAAAGCAGTTCCTCTGACTAAAACTGCTTCAGAGAAAAATTGGAAGACAAAAATTCTCAAGAGGAGGATCAAAATAAAACATTTTTATTAAATCAGGAGAAGTCAATGTCAAAATTTCAATTGACCTAAAGTGTCATTTTAAATAAGCTATATGCCAACATTTTGGTTTTCATTCTAATCTATATCTCTGTTAATTCCATGGAACTTAGTGTAAACCTGGCTGTAGATAGATGGTAGGTAGCGTTGGTGAAACCTTGGAATACGTTTGGGAGAAGTAAGATGAGCTTTGAGTCATTTGAGTCAGAAAGTAAAATCTGAGTAACAACTGTAATCTTGATTATCTTTTGCTTAAATGGCACCTACATGACTTCAGAGTCAGAATATATAAACCATTCAATTTTCACTTTTGCTTTGTGTTTAGATTTAGCTATTTCTTGTGTGTTAGAAAAGCTAACCATGCATATACAGCTAAAATTTGCTTTACAAATTAGTACTTAGCTATTAATGTTTCAGCTGCTGATCTGTTTCCTGCTGACAATTACATAACCATGCTTAATTGCTAAATATATAAACTGGTACTTAAAGCTTATTATCCATCAACAAAGTATGCAAAGTAATTATTGAAGATGTATTATGAAGAAATATTAACATACATGAAAGAATTTATTTTTTATATAAATTTTTAAAAATATTTGTATTTAATAATAATAAAAAAGGGATCTCAAAGCAGATTTGGGCTGGTACTGATCCTCTGATAGAGCATAGTCTAAAATGTGATGTTAACTACCTGTTGTCAAATCATGTGTTTTAAGTATATTGAAACTTTAGAAGTGTAGCTATATCTAATTTAAATGTAATGGTATCCTAAAAGTAACATCCTGTATTTAATTGGTGGGATATGTTGAATTTTGTCTGTTTGAATTAAGGAAAACTAGTTTTTTGTGTGTTATCTGAAAAAAGTCATAGAGAAACCGTGTAATTCCAAAAGCAGAGAGGAGTTTAACTATTACTTATGTGTTGGCACTGAGATAATTTACATGTTCTCAGAATGAGAAGATATGGCATAATACAGGAAAAAAGTATAGTTTGAAGAAAAAACAAGAAAGCTAGGGATTCAGGGGTTTTCTCTTGGACAAAATGCAAACCAGTTTTCTATAATAGCAGGATATGTAAGTTTAATCAAATGAGGAGAGAAAACACAACTTACTTGTACTGGAAATGAAGTGCTACACATAAACTGAAAGAAGAGTCAGTGTCTGCCCTTCTGCATATTTTTTTTGGTACTGAGGTGTTTGAGCTTGACACAAACATCTGTTACTTTTTATAGGATAATTTTTTTTATTGTTTATAGGATAATACGTGGAATTAATGTTTGTTTCATATGGTGTATTGGCATGTGGGAATGAGCTTGGTACAGGGAATCTGAAGGCAGGATGTTACACAGGGAATTGTCTCAAATTATCAAAATTTACTGCTTTACCTTCTGATTTTTATCTCTGCCACTCTTTTACGCTGTGAGAAAGAATGTCTTGACAAAATGTTTTGTTTGCTTAAAGATGTAAAGTAACAAAGTACAGAACATTTACATTCAGAATATATGTGAAAATACAATACTGAGCATGCTATTAGTTTAATAACATCTCATCCTCATTATAGTTTTTATTTCACTGGCAATATAAGTACAAGAATAATATGTAAATTTTTTTGAGTTAGGAATAATACACTGCAGTTTGCTCAGTTTTTCTCTTGAAATAAGGGCAGCAGCTGGGGACTGCTTCATTTCACTGTTGGAGAAAAACTGCTGTTTCAATGGTTTGTTAAATAGGGAAAGAGAAATGGGCTCAGTGTAAGTAAAGAGGACAGTACTAGATCCATGAGAAACGTGATGAAGTGTATGAGGCCATTTTAGAAAAAAAAGTGTGAATATGTATATAAGGGCACACCTACCAACCCCAGTAACCTGGGAGTGAAATCTGGAAATAAATGGAAATCTTGAAAGAAAAAAAAGGAAAAAAAAGAGAGAGATTGGGTGGGAGAGTAGAAATTTGACAGTCTGAGTTTCTTTCCTTCTGTATGATTTTGTTATTTTTTTATCTTTAGCTTTCTTACAAATTAACAACAAAAATCCTAGAAAAAAATTTCTTCATTTAGGCTGTTAATGCACAAAATGCTTCTGTAAGTGTACATACAAATGTGCAAGAGATCCCATCCCCCAAATGAAATTGTAAAATATTGTTTTTTCAGGTATCTAATTAGTGATATTAAGTTGCTTGATGATATTTAAAATCAGTAGAGTTCAAAGAAGAGAGGTGGGAATTTAATTTTGTGCAGATGGTGTTTTACCCCTGTATTTTCCTTAAAAATTAACCTTTCCTTTAATGCTAACTATAAAATGCAGTAGAAATATTGCCACTTATAGTGGTATAAACTGAATTGAAATTAATATTAAAAGGTTATGTATCTTGCATTTGTACTGTTCTTTCTGGGCTTTCAGATATTTAATTCCATAGCCAGTCAGGGTGAATATTGTATCATATAGAAAATATGTTAGAGTCAGAAGACTTGCTCATAAAAGTAATGCAATTTTAATAACACTCCAAACACAAATAATTACTGCTTACATCATCAGAAAAACCACCTTGATTTTGATTGTCCCATGGTTTATGAAAAGAAGCAAAGGTAGTATAAGGTAGAGAACAATCATCAAAGGAAACTTTGTGGAATTTTCTTTGTTTTCTTCTAAAGTAATAAAATATTAATTTAATCAAATTTCAAAGAGGGGGAAGATTGATGATAGTGTCATAGACAACATGATAGTTAACAATGTCTTCCATAAGCTCCTTCTCTGTTACAAAGGCTTTTAAGATGTTTTATTCTGGAGTGTGATCCTGATTGTCTGAACAATGCCTCAGCCTGCACCCGGTTTGTACATAAGTAGGTGTTCCTATCTGGTGGCTTCCTTTTTAGGAAGCAATAAATGAATTGCATGTCAGATTTGTTTTAGCCTTGCTTTGGGAAGACATGAAGTAGTTTAGTGACCCTGAACTATCCTTTTTAGCTTAGAAACATTTCCTCTCTAGTAGAAATATGTTTCTGTGGTAAAGGGTTTGTTACTCTGAACCCCTGAACGTAACAGAGGTCTGGGTTTTCTTTTAAGTCAGACTGGGTGTCTTTGAACAATAAATTTTCAAGTAAATACTGTTCTCTAACATTTTGAAAGCTTATTTTTTTCTTTTAGGAAGTTCTGAAAGAAAATGTTAATGGTGGCAGACAGCTCTCATGTGAGATGTATTTAACTGTTTATGGCATTGAAATATCTGACTACCTTCTTGGCCGATCAATATCTCTGCTTTTAGCAGTTCTCTGTGCTTATGAACACAGAGCCTGGGAGCACAGCTTTTGCTCATAAAAGCTCTGACTGTGCACTCTATGTTCAAGCTGTTGTAATTTCTTACATAGTCCTTGCCATGTGTTTGATTGTCCTTCACTGAGATGTGGATCTTCATGCTGTTACCTAGATGTGAGTTAGGAGGTGTGCCTGGGACACATGCAACATACCTGTTCAACTCACAGCACAATTACAATGTTCAGAGCTTTACCACCCTGACTGTGAGAATTTTTATGAGCTCTGCCAATGGTCTTGAATGACATATAGGTTAAGCAAGGGCTTGTCTTCCTACCCATAACAAATAAATGTGAAGTAGTCGTTGACAAAATACAAAGTTTTCCTCTGTGTTTTCTTAAGCGATGTAAGCATGTTAAAATTAATGTGTGAAATCATAGTTTAAAACTCACTAACTTCCACATATAACCATTAGCTTCAACTTACAGCCATTTCCATATAGTGAAAATAATTTCTTAAAATCTTTGTCTTCAGAAACTCTATATCATAGTGTTCATAAGGACAGTACATCCAGGTGTATATTCTGCACTAGAGTGTACCTGCTAGGAAAAATGTCTCATACTTATTAATTGATTTGGGATGGAAGTGATAAATTCTGTGAAAACAGTTTATTCATTTCACATGATTTGTATAAATCAGTTTGTTATGATTTTCTGTTTGATAAGTTTCTGTCTGAATAAAGAAATTATTCATTTTCAATTGTTATTAATGGCATGTCAGAATGAGTGAGAAAGAGTTGGTCATCGTGGCTTATGAGAAACAGCAGACCAAGTGAAAAATATTACGTGGTTTTATGGATGTTTCCATAAACTTCTGCTTTTGATGCATTAATTTTTCAGGTAATTGAAAACAAAGTGATCAGTATGACTGTTTTGTAAATATAAGAGCCTTGATTGTGTTTGTTAATAGAAATACATAATTTAGGTACAGAAATAGAATTTATTGTTGTTTATGATACTTTTCATGTAAAAGAAACCTCTGAAAATTTACTAATATAGTAACATTTTTCTTCAATTTTTTTCCCAAGTTCTTTGATGTAATCTCAACCACTGAGAAACCACTGTCTGAGCAAGACTGGTATCATGGTGCAATTCCAAGAATAGAAGCCCAGGAGCTGTTAAAACAGCAAGGAGACTTCTTGGTGCGAGAGAGCCACGGGAAACCTGGTGAATATGTCCTTTCTGTGTTTTCAGATGGACAACGGAGACACTTTATCATACAATATGCTGATGTACGTCTCTGATATAGTACTGAATATTCAATTTAGGACCTACGTAGTTTACTATAGCAAATGGATTTAGCCTTTATATGAAAATATGAAAGCTGTGGGAAATATTTCCATCAGTGCTGAAATCAGGGGGAAAGGTCATTTTGAGAAACAAAAGAAAAATATGAGGTATCAGGTTATTCAGTTTCTTTTATCCTATTGATTTATTTATTATTGAAAAGCCAAGATATTTCTGTGTATGTTTTGAAATATAGAACTTGTTATTATTAATTTATGCATGTTCCTTTATGTATTTTTAAACCCATTTACATAGTCGGTACCAATTAGACTACTTTTAATTCAAACAATAAAGATTCAGATGAATCTTCGTGAAGAATGGAAACAGTCATGGAGAAGAAAGTAATCAATGTTGGTTTGATGCAGTTGGGAATTGAAGTCCCTGCTGCACTAGAGGTGCTTATGTTCTTTTTAACCCTATGGTTACTGGTTTTTTCAGTATAACACAAACGCTTATGGATGTTGCACAGTGTATATGCTTCTAAGGACCAAAATTGTCCCCCCTTATTGCTCTAATTTAAGAAAGATTGGTGACTGAATTAGCAGTATGTTATATTGTTATATGCCTTTATCCAGTGTATTTCTTTTTATTCTTCTTAATGCATTACTTGTTTTTTAACCTTTCAGAATTTTAAGCTTACTAAAAATGTGACATTTCACATAACATTACTAGAAATTTTTCTTGAAGTGTGACATTGCAGCAAATCGTTCTCAGTTATGATTCAGTAATGCTGTCTCTTCAGTGTCTTGTAATAAAAGTCTCCCACATACAGAAAAATACTCACAGTCAATCACATAATGATATTTACACTGAAGGAATTTCCTTGTCTAAATCCCCAGCAGATGCAGCATGCCTGGGGAACTCAATATTGTGTACCTGCTTTATTTGCTTTTAATGAGAGGCAGTAATATTTTTCAAATTTCATAGAGGTTGGAAGGCTTCTATAGGATCAATGATTATGGACACTTGTCATGGCTGGAGTGTTCATTAGTTCTCACCTACTGTTTTCTTTGTGGAAGTGAACATTTGCACGTAGTGTTTATTTTATTTTGATTTTATGACCTTAAAGTATTTTGATGTGTCAGGGTGCTGAATGAGAAAATAAGCAATAAAATTACCTCTACATAGAGCCACAGAATCTTACAAGATGCTTGGTGCTCTCTCATCTGACCCAGCAGAAATAAATGCACACTGTATTCTTGATGTGACTGAAGTAATTTTGTGCAAATCATTTTGGTAGGGATGTTGGAGGAGAGTGTAGTGCAAGGGATTTGTTCCTTTGCACAGATAAGAAATATGTGGAATCGGGTCTCTGTGACTGGTGAAACCACACTCTTGGATCACTGACAGACCCCCATATTTTCTTTTGAATCAAGCACTGAAGATCAGAGTGGGACATTTGTTTTAACAGTGATCCTTTAATTGCATAAGTGTTCTCTCTCTAGTTTTACCATTATTTTAAAGTCTAACCTTAATATAACTATGTGTGATAAATCAGTTTATCATTCAGCTTTTAAGCTGAATTAATTCACTGCCGTCCATTCAAGGCAACTGTTGTCTTCGCTTCCGCTTACTTGAGGCTGTGGCATTGTAAAATTGTTGTTTGTTAGTGATTTTAATAATGGTCAGGATGTAGTGTAAGCACACAGAATCAAAGGACACTGTCTGCCCTGAGGGTTTTACATAAATGGCAGCAGATGGGCACATTGCTGGGTCTGGGATGAGGAAATAATGGGCAATAGTGGCTGTTGTGCTAAGGAGACTCTTAGGACATCAGGTTTTTTGGATCATCAGCAGAGAAGTATGAAGGAACTTATTTGAAAGGAATGGGAACTAGTGTTGGTGGTCAATCGAAGTATAGTCATTATTTAATAAACAACAAAATAACAACACAAAGTATTCAGTCCGTGGAAACATTTTATGATGGAGATCTGTTAATGTTAAAAGCAGGTGATGTGACCAAGCTGTCTTTACTAAAAGCAACAACGTGTTTCAGGAAGTTAATGTTTTAACCCTCAAGAAACACAGTAAACTTAAAATGCACTGTGAAAGGAATTTAACCCTGGGGGTTAGAAAGAAAACTGTCTGCATGCCGGTGGTAGAGGTTTTCATTGCCCAGTTGTGTAAATGAACTTGAATCACCATCTGTGCTTTTGAGTTTTTTTAATTGCAGTACTTGTTCATTGTCAGGCTGGCTTATGGCAGCTACTTGTGGGAAGAGCTCTCTAACTGTAGATGCCTAGTCTTGTGAAAGCACAAGGCTTTCTTATATTTCACCATGCTTCTCTTTGAATCACATGCCTGACTTGCCTTTAGCTGCTTTAGACTCTTCTGGTTTATAATCCTTATTAAAGACCAATCATGTACTGTATACTCTGTGCCAGGGATTTATTAATTCAAATATTATAAATGCAGTAAGATCAGATCAGGACAGTATTACTTATCTCCTATTTATTTTATTGTCAGATTTTTAGTTTGCTGTCATAGTTCTTAGAACTTGAAGTAATTCAGAAGTGGGTGTTTTTTCTGGTTTAGAATATTTTTATTTCAATCTGTCATAGTTTTAAGTTTAACTGTCCTATCTATTTAAATTAAGAGTTTAAATAGTCATTTTATCATGCTACCTTACATGAGTAATGCAGTAATTTTGCATTTATTAATTTGTCATCTTCCTAACTGTCATTCCATTTAAGTCAGTAGAAATACTATTTAAAGATCAGAAAATGAATTTAATTCTGTAAAAGCGAGCATTGCTTTCTTACAAGTGGGGAAAATTTGATGATGCACTTTTGCAGTTTCTTACTAGAAATATTGTTTGTAGAGAAATAATTATTCCCTTTTATGTCTTTACAGAATCAATATCGTTTTGAAGGAACTGGTTTTCCAACTATTCCTCAGCTCATAGAACATCATTACACAACAAAGCAGGTCATTACAAAGAAATCAGGTGTTGTTCTGCTGAATCCTGTTGTTAAGGTAATGCATACATTCCAAGAACTTTATTTAACTGAAAATAATTTGGGGGTGTTTCTGTTGTTATTTCAAATATGGTCCTGTGCAACTTCTCAGAAGATTTTTCATTTTTTCTCATTTTGTGACTGTTTCTGAGCTTTATGAACCTTTTCTGCTTTGTGCAATATATTAATTTAAAATTACTCTCCATTCTGATCCTTGTAATAAATTTTTGCTATCTTGAAAGAATGGCAGTCAACACCTTAAAAATTTTTTTTTTGTTTCCCATTTGGATTTCAATACTAAGTAATTCAAAGTAGTAGTTCATTTCCCTTCCCTCCATAAAGGAAGAAATTTCTTTTATATAGTGGTGTTCTATAAGTGGCGACAGTCTCATGAAATTTGGAAGACTTATGACAACTCCATTTTGTCTCTGTTTTATATCTCAAAAATAAGTTATATGGACACAGAAAAAGGTACTGACACTCCAGCATAATTGAAAATTAAAATAAAAATTCCCTTTTTAATCAGGAAGCTACTGCAGAAAGTCTTTCAAGAGGAAAATGAAAAGGGATAAGTATTAAACTATATCAGTGTTTTAAGAGCCTCCTTGACTTCTTCCAGTATTTTTGCAATTAGTATCTACTTAGTTGATATTTCATTTGTTTGCCAACTCCACTTATATCTTTGGATCTTAACTATAGGTAAGCCTTCTTGATTTGTTTTTTTTTCAAGACTGGTCGCAAGCCTGCGTTTGACAAAATTTTGATGTTGGCTACATGATTTGAATTTCTTTAGAGCAGCTGTTCTCAAAAATATTTAAATTGTTTCGGTTTGTAATGGCTTTTGCTCTGAGCTGTGATTTTATGGTGATTTTAGTTCTCCCATCTGACAAAAACTAGATGTTGTATTCTGAAGAAGTATTTCAGAATGAAGAAAAAGAGTGCTATGAGCTTTCCCTTTTAATTTTCTTGGAGCTCTGGCTTTCATACAGAAAAGTAAAGACATTTTAAGTTGTTTTCAAAAATAGCATATGCACTCTGACACCTAGTGTTGGGGGTAATTTATGCATCATGTACTATTACCAAAATGTCTTTGATCATTTCCTTAAAATTCATTTGACATCTGCAACGACTGGTTTTTCTTTGTTCGATTTATAAGTGCAGAGCAGTCTTTGTCATTTTGTGCAATCTTTAATCTTTTTATGCAAATTGCTGTCCCTGTAATAACCTATTTAGGAATTGAAAGTTAAATATGGCAGAGAACTTCACAGAAAAAAAAGTTGTGCTTTTTAGTTTGTTTTTGCTTTCCTTCCTTCCCACAGTCATTCATCCTCCTTTACCATATTAGTAAAATTAGTGTTCACCTTCTGAGACATTGCCCTTGAAAGAACAGTCTTAATTGTGTCACAAAAGGCCTGTCCCATGTCCCATTTCATGTAGACCAAATCTGCCTGCTTAGAATTTTAATGATACTGTTATAATAGAATTTAAATTAGAAAAACTGAGGGCATTAAAAAAGATATCTGCTAGTGACTTCTTTAATGGAAAAATCTCTCATGTTTATTTATAATCTTTTAGAAAAAATGTACATAATGTTCTTCAGTTTGTTATTGATGGATTGACTGGTATGTAAAGCCCCTGGGTAACCTCAGTGCATACCCAAGGTCTTTATTAGTAGAAATGCTATTTTAACTGTATTAGATGTATTTTAACTTTTTAACATCTTTGACCTCATGTTGTGGAGGTTTTTAAATTTTTTGAAATACGTTTTTTTATCCTGAAGAAATCTGTGTGAAGTTGTGAATATGTTTAAGTTTGACTACTAAAAAAGAAAATAATCAAGAAAATAAGAAATACCATTTTTATTTAGGTGTATCTGCATTAATGTTTTCATTTGGATCAGAAATACACCTTTGAAGCAAGTCTGCCCAGTGCCATTAGGATGCTGTGCCTCCACCACTGAGCAGTCTCTGAGGATCCACTTTACTCCTTTCAGCTGAAACAAAATGGGAACATGCACAACTCTTATGGGAGGGCTCTCAGTTTTCAGAACTATTATTTCTAGCCTGCAATAATGCTTTCTGCCCAAGTATATGCTTCAGATCCTGAGCACCAACTGATTCACTCTGGAGATCTGCCACTATTTCACTAGTGCTAATATAGTCCTAGTATTTGGATCCTCTGTGATGTGGCTTTATACATTTCGTGTACATGGGAGGAATGATGGACTATAAATGTTGAGATGAATGAAAAGTGTTAAAAGAAAAAAAATAGATATTTCTTAGTTGTGCTTCTAATGTAGATAAATAAGTTTGCAAGTGATGTGATAAGTTTAGGGAGATCTGATGCTGTCTTGCAAGATATGTGTATGTTAATGAGTTAGACATAGAAAGAAATGGTGAAGAATTACAAATTTAAGTTAGAGAGGTTCTTTTCATGAAAATGCACTCAGAAAAATCTGATGTGACCCCAATTTTTCAGTCACTGAACCAATTCAAAGATGTAATTTTCTTTAAGAAAATTGAACTCACAGTTTGGAAGTGAGTGTTTATAATATGTAAAAGATGTACTTACACAAAATGGATTTATTTATTGTATATGAAATAAATGATTCAATAGCCTGCAGCTATTGGCATTTGGACAGAATTTCATATCTTAATACTAGCAGTGCATTTCAGTTATATTCCTGTTTCCTCAGAATTTAGAGAAACATTACAGAATTTGCTTTTCAGGTTTTGTAGCAGAAATGATTACAATATTTCTGTCACGTAACAAAATGAATGCATTGTTCTTAATGGAGGCCTATTCTTGTCAAGGCATGTCATCCTGTTGAGAAAAGGGAAAAAGGAGAATAATTTGCTCTTTGTGCAGCAAAGTACTAAATCAAATTCATGTATAATTTCAGGTATATTGACTACTTTCAAAATTAAAAGGATTTATTTTCTCAAAAATTCTCATTAAAATGCATTGTAATAATGGAGGCTCAAAGAGTAACAGAGATTGTTTTATAGTCTTGTAGCTTTTTTTTCTGAAGACAATGGCTTTAAACATCTGCTCTAATCAGTGTTTCTGGTTCAGTCTTGTCTTTGTGGTATTTGGTATTTCTTTCCATGATCAGATTTAGATTAAAATTGGAAGATAAGACTCTTAAAGGGTGTAAACATTATGCTCAAAACTATAAAAAAAAATGTTTTATAAAGTATATGAATTCCATTTTAGCAAACACAGTGTATTTTTTGACCAATGTCTTAAAGAAAAATCTCTGTTCTAGAAATATTAAATGGGCACCTTGGCTACACGTGAATTCCTGGTTTCTGTATTGCTTTCATATAAAAAAATTATAGAATGCCATAGTGCTGTGTGGCGTGCAAATTGAACAAAAGGAGTTATTTCAAACACAACTGGAACAGTAGGAAATAAAAATAACTGAAATTTAAGCAATTCATTCTTACTAAAAAAGAAAAGTAGGTTTGTTGTTAGGAAGGGGAAAAAATTATTAAATTAAAGATTTCAGAGGAATCTGGTAACTAGGAGAATAAACTCTTTTGATTAAAGCATACTTTGTCAAGATTATTTAGATTTACTAGATTTTATTGCTGACATTTTGTATATACACGTGAAAATCAAAGGATTGTCTATATTGTGTAACATTCTGGCTGTAAGTCCTTGTGGAACACTTGTAAAAACTGGGGCTTTGCACTGTGGCTTTTCAGTGTTTTTGTCAGAAACTTTATAACCAGATGTTAATATAGCACAATAATAAAATTATATTAGAATTATGTACGACTGCAACACCTTTTCTGCTGAAGTAACATCCTGGATTTTTTATGGATTCTGGCTGGATTTGGAATTAAAATATTCTATAATAATTATTTTTTATAAAATTGTGAGTTATAAACTTCTGGTAGGTCTCTAATTATATTCTTCTTCCTGTTTCTACTTGTGCAGTCAGTTTGCAATATTTTCATAGGATGTGGCTGCAAGTATGTAACCTTCATTGAACATAAGCTCTCACAGGTCAAAAAACACAGTGTAGATTAAGAGCAAAAACGAGTGTCTGAGCTCTTAAATTCCCTTGTAGAATTATAGTTATGTGCAGTCGGGTACTGTGAAGTAGCTTATGATTGCTTCAAAGTATTTTAGCATCTATCAGTTTAAGTGGAAAAAGATGTTAAAAAGGAGTGAAATGACATTTCAGCTGTGCAGTAGCAAAGGTTACACACAAAAGCAGCTACAGGCTAAGAAGAGTATGGCTTTCTTGAATCAGGTGCGTACATCAAACGTGTGTAATCATGTCTGAATTCTCAAGAAGATCTGTTTGTGAGAGCATGAATAATAGATTTATTTGCTTAATTGTGGGCCAGTTTATTCAGAAAGAGTTGTGATACATTGAGGAGGATGCTGTGTAGTTAATTCTCAGATTTTTGAGTTTTAGGAAAGGATACAAAAGATACAGAAAAGGTGCAACTGTTGTGGTTTAACCCCAGCTAGCAACTGAACACAGAGGGTCATTCACTTCCCCCACAGTGGGATAGTGGAGACAATCCTAAGGGTAAAAGTGAGAAAACTCATGGGTTGAGGGAAAGACAGTTGAATAGGAAAAGCATAAACCTCACATGCAAGCAAAGCAAAACAAGGAATTCATTCACTGCTTCCCATGAGCAGGCAGGTGTTCAGCCATCTCCAGGAAAGCAGGGCTCCATCACGTGTAACCATGACTTGGGAAGAAAAATGCTGTCACTCTGCGTGTCTTCTTCCTTTGGTCCATTGGGGTCAGCTGTCCTGGCTGTGTCCCCTCCTAATCTCTTGTACAGCCTGCTAGAATTCATGGGAAAAGCTTAAAAAAATTCACCTTCACTGCAATCTTTTAATTTTAGAGGAGATTGTGTACGCATGCATGCCATAAAGATTACTTCCTGTGTTAATCATCTTTGTCAAGGGACTAATTTAACATGTAAGACCAAAATATAACCCCATACTAGCTACTGTGAACAAAATTATCCCAGCCAAAACCACTGCAGC